GGATCACCTCCTTCGACCTGCTGGTCACGCTTTCTTTGATGCAGCCCAGGATACGGTTGCTTTCTGGGCTGCGAGCGCACACTGAAGCCGGCTCATGTTCATTTTCTCATCAGCCAGCACCCCCAAGTCCTTCTCCGCAGGGCTGCTCTGAATCTCTTCTCTGCCCAGCCTGTAGCTGTGTCCGGGATTGCTCCGACCCAGGTGTAGGACCTTGCACTTGGCATGGTTATACTTCATGAGGTTGGCATCAGCCGACCTCACAAGTGTGTCAAGGTCCCTCTGGATGGCATTGCTTCCCTCCAGCATATCAACCAAACCACACAGCTTGGTGTCATTGGCAAACTTGCTGAGGGCGCGCTCAATCCCACTGTCCATGTCACCAACAAAGATGTTAAACAAGACCGGTCCCAACACCGATCCCTGAGGGACACCATTCATTACTGGTCTCCAGCTGGACATTGAGCCATTGACCACAACTCTTTGTGTGACCATCCAGCCAGTTCTTTATCCACCGAGTGGTCCACCTATCAAATTGATGTCTCTCCAATTTAGAAACAAGAATGTCGTGTGGGACAGTGTTGAACGCTTTAGACAAATCCAGGTAGATGACATCAGCTGCTCTACCACTGTCCATCAGTTCCATAGCTTCATCATAAAAGGCCACCAACACTGAATGGGAACATTCCTCTCTTGTAGCCCACAGAAGTACAGCAACAGTTACTGTCTTGTTGGTGGATTTGCCCAGATAACCATTTAATGTTTTTTAGTGGGTTTAAATTAAATAATTATCTAAGGGTTTACTCTGATGTGCCTGTCCCTGTGCTAAGTGCTATCCTCTGCCCTAAGCCTACTTGCTGAGCTCTTATGAATGATGCTGAAAATTTGGCACACAAAACAAGACGTTTATATCACTAAGGGAACAGTCTGTCACCTGCAAGTGGGAGAGTACTTAGTTTGGGTAGAATAATTTTTTTCATCTGCTTGTAGTCTGACTTAGTTACCTGACAAAAATCTCTATTTTACATCACTGGATCTGCAGAATCAACCTGTGAAATTAATAGGAGATAAACTCACCATTTAATTTCATAAGGGTACTAGTACATTTGTTCACTACAACAGAGAAGTGCAGCATATGTCATGGTGACAGTTCAGCATCTGCAAAACTACGACCTTGCTCTCTCTTTTCAGTGTATACTTGATGGCTGATCAATAAGCACTTTAGGGACTAATTTAAGTCAGTTCAGTGATGAATACTCTCACAGGATAGTCTATCAGTTCAACAGTTTGGACATTTGAGAAGTGGTATTGCTTATTTCATCAGATTGTTTGTTGCTTGAGTATATGAACATGTTACATATTCACAGATCAGAGATCTGTGGATCTCAGAACTCTTCATACAGTAAGTCTATTTTCAAGAATTATGAAAGCCTGTTACCGTCTTTTACACTATCTTACAGTCTTAAAAGCTCCAGAGAGAAAAGATGGTATAATATTAAGGAAAAGAGTCATCTATGCAACTTTGCATGCAAATTCAAAGCTAATTCCCAAGCTTGTTCCCATTTATTTTCCATACATGTCTGTCTAATGCTTTCTCAAGTTAACTTTAGCTGCTGCCATATCAGCTCTTAAACATTGACAAATGAAAAAAGCTGGACCTGTCAGCTTTCCCCAGAGGCTTGCAAAATAATGATGTCACTAGAGCATGAGATAAGCAGTGCTATCAACATAACAGACTGGACAGGAGTCAAATGCATAGGCTGATCACTGCTCTGTACATAGTCTGTATTGATTTTTAAGCTTGTGTCGCTCTGGTAGGACAAACCCTGACTGTTATCCAGCTCTGAATACTGCCAAACAGAGAGCTGCTTTTTCAATTCTAGTTATCTTGGGAATCATTTGTACCAAGAACTTGTGCAGAGGTTGTTATGAGAACATGGATTTCAAGTAGATATCTGGGTTCCCCATAGAGACTATGAGCTCCATGTAGTTCTCACACTGACTTTCAGTCAGTGTAGGGTGAGACTGACTGGTTGTGTGCTATAAGCAGGCAGTGCGAGGAAGAAATACTCTTCAGTGATGTGAGGTTAGCAGAGTCAACATGGAGACATCTGAGCCTCATGGTGGGAGCGGGTAGTGATACAGCTGTACGCCTTCTCTCAACAAGGGGGCAAGCTGAAATGTCACAGCCACTGCAGAAGGACATTTATGCCTAGTTCAGTAAGTAACATGGCACTCAGAAGATTTGCTTGAAAAACCTCAGTGCTTTACTGCTTTTGTGAAGCAGAACAAATCCTTGCTTCGCCACTTAGATCGGTTGCTTTGAGATGTGCTATTAGGAAACTCTTGAGGTATTATTCCTTCTGCAGGCAGCAAAATTGAGAGGTTACAAAAGAAAATGACTTGACGAGGTGGTAAGGCACATGGGTTAACCTTGTCCCACCAACTAAAAAGTCTCTGGAGCTGACACAGAACAAAAGACAAAAGTAAAAACAAACACCTGTAGCCTTCTGTAAAGAAGGGCTTAAAAAATTGCATAAAGTGGCCAGAAGAAAGGGAAGAGAGTAAACCCTTGGTTTTAACTTCCTTTTCACATCGTTTTTAGTGGAGCCATATCACTTTCTTTGCTTGTTAGCTTTATTTTCTGAACCATTTCTCCAAGAAGCGCATTTCTTCTCTTTGCAGTAGTTCTTCTATTTCCACATGGCTGTGCAAGCTAGACTTCCTGCGCAGAGATTACTGACGGCTTTAGGATCCTTTGTAACAGTGCAGGATACAGCACTGCATGGTCAAGCTGGGAGCTATACAGACCTCAGCTCTGTGGGCTTGCTTTCTCTGCCCATGCTGGGCTTTGTTCGTCTTGGAGGTTTTGCCTCATCCATGTAGACTGTGAACTGCTGGGGCAGCAACTGTTCCCAGTGGGTGTAGGCAGGGAGCTCTGCACTCTGGTCAGGCCTTGGAGTGCAACTGTACTATAAAATAGCAGCAGCAGCAATAACAGTAAGCCCTGCTCTAGGCAGCTTGGGTTTTTTCCATCAGAAAGCTGTAAACATATGTTTCTGAAAATAAAAACAAGGCCACTCTTTTTGATGGGCATCTATGTTTTACCTTCCTGCAGGAAGTTAGTGAGGAGTTGCCTGTTTCATATTTAATCTCAACTATTTCAGGTGTATCATAGATTCATAGTGCGTAAAATCGTAGGATAGTTTGAGTTGTAAGGGCCCTTCAAAGATCATCTGGTCCAACCCCCCTGCAACAGGGACACCTAGACAACTACATCAGGTTGCTCAGAACCACATGCAGCCTGACCTTGAATGTCTCCAGGGTGGTGCATTCCCCACCTCTCTGGGCAACCTGTGCCAGTGTTTTACCCCCTTCATCACAGACAATTTTTTCCTCACATCAAGCCTAAATCTCCCCTCTTCTAGTTTAAAACCATCACCCCTCATCCTATTGCATCAGGCCCTGCTAAAAAGTCTCTCCCCGTCTTTCTCATAGGCCCCTTTTAAGTACTGAAAGGCCACAACAAGGTATCCCTGGGGTCTTCTCTTCTCCAGGCTGAACAACCACAACTCTCTCAGCCAGCTCTTGTCTATCAACAGCATGACATCAGTATTAAATAGTGGCATACGCAGTTACAGTGTATAACATACATGGTTATGCAAAATTGCAGCTCCCTAAAAGCTTCTTTTCTCTTGCACAAGACTTTAAGTAGGCATCAGTTCAGCTATCGCCTGGCATGGCATGTGGTTGGTTTGAGTTGATCCACACTAAGCCATGCTGCAGCAAAGTTGTACTGTCTACCGTTAGAGTCCTCAGCGTTACCACTATGGATGCTCCTTAGACTGGCTTAACTACTCAGTTACAAAAGTATTCCCCTCCCTAGGGAATATTTCAAGGCAGCTCGCCAAATTAATCCATCTCTTCTGTGGGTCACACAAAGCTCTTCTGACAGAGGAGCAGGCTGTGTCCTTCAGAGGAGATGTGAATGGCTTGCATGGTCTCGACCCAAAGGTAACATCTGCTGGCAAGAGCTCTGCTACCCTGTGAAGAAGAGAGGAGGCTGCTGGCTGCCTGAGGATGCCTTCCTGCTTTGTTCTTTGCTTCAAACTGAAGACAACACCAGAAAAAAAAGGGGGGGGGGGGGAGGGAGAGGCACATGGATGACTGGAATGACTGCAGAAAGTGGGAAGTGGGCAGAGATAGCCCTCTCCACCAGACGTGGGTGGTTTGTTGTTGCTTGCTGCCCGCTATGCAGCAATCAAGCTGAGGCTTTTCTTACTTGAAGGAAGGGTGAACTGGGCTGAACCAGTCCCTCTCACTCTTTATGGTCTGAACAAGCAGCCCAAGCTTTCTTGGCTGCAGAACCAGCATGTGTGTAGAGGGAAGATAACAGTATTAACGAGGGAGCTATGGGGAAAGCCTTCTCAGAACTTATTTATCAGGCAGCTTTCTCCAGCTCGTCTGGTTTTATGTCGTGCCCAATCTGTGAGCTGTATAATTGGAAGCCACTTCTTTCCAGGCTGTGGACAACCATCCAGATGGCTGGGGATGTGCTCCTAGAGCAAAGCTTCCCATTGCCATAGCTTCCTTCCTCTTTCCTCAGTGCTGAAGGTGTCCTGCTTTCAAATGTTCAATATCCACGGCTGAGCTGTTAACTTGCCCTGAAGAAGTCAGAAATATATGGCACTGATACAGATGTAGTTTTATTGCTCATTATTTCATTATTGCTCCTTCAAATGTAGGAATCATGAAGTTTAACAGGAAGGATTTTGCTCTTTCTTATCAGAACAATGGGGAAAAAAAATCCTTAATGGGATATTGTCAAATTAATTGGAGAAAAAAAAAGCAACCAGAAGTCCTCAATCAGTGTTGGCAAAGAAACTTGTCCAAGGTCCATGTATAAAACAGAACACTTTACTGAAAAATACTCAGTGGTTTTTCTGTAGATACCTTTCTATTTTCATTTTCTCCTAGCTCTCCTTTGGCTCTGTCTTTTGCAGGTCATGAAAACATACCACATGTATCACGCAGAGAGCGTCAGTGCAGAAAGCAAACTGAAGGAGGCAGAGAAGCAAGAAGAAAAACAGATTGGGAGGTCAGGAGACCCTGTTTTTCATATTCGACTAGAAGAACGGCACCAGAGACGGAGCTCTGTGAAAAAGATAGAAAAAATGAAGGAAAAAGTAAATAATCCTTTTATTTAGCTTCATTTGAAGTAAATTCAGTGCATTTATGTCATTCTTTAGCATGATATTAGACAGAGAAATCCAGATGGGAAATATAATTTAAAAAGGTACACATAATAAACTAGCATTGGGTGTAGATAACTTGACAATTGCCCCAGAGAGGGGAATACTGTATTCCTAGTATAATTTTCACTATATCATTTGTCACGTTGAAACAAAATACTAAGTGATAATTTTGTATTACATTTGTTAGATGTATAACAGGCTGGCAATTAAAATTCTTTCTTATTAATAGGAATGTGTGCTTGAATTGTTACCATTTTTTTTACATATCAAAAAATGAAGTAATTTGAATACATTAATATACAATCTCTCCCCTAGCGTCAAGCAAAATACTCTGAAAACAAGCTGAAATCTATTAAGGCCCGCAATGAATACCTGCTCACCCTTGAAGCGACCAATGCTTCTGTTTTCAAGTATTATATTCATGACCTGTCAGATTTAATTGACGTAAGTAATGGCACGTTTGTTTTTATGTTTATTCTGCTCAGGAATAATACTTTTTTCTTTCTCATTTTCAGAGGGAATTCATCAGTCATCTGGGTTGCCTACAATACGCTTATCATTGATAATATTGTATGGTATAATCAGCAGACTTTCCCTTCAGCTTTCTATTGCACAAAATAAAGTGCCAGTAAGACACTGAGCCCATTCCTTTAAAGTTAGAACGTTATGTTTTCTCCTCATATGGCAAGAGGAAAATATGACAGGAATAACACCAAAAAACACCATTTTGTACTGTAGAAGGATTTCTGAGGTGCAAATATTCTTTACAGGATAAGCTTCTAGAATGGGCATCTAATAATGGCGAAGGCATTTCCTCCCTGTCTTTAAAATCATTTAGTTCCATTCATTTAGTTATGGAATCAGGTTTACAGTGCTTTTTAGTCTTATTTCATGTAGCTTGCAGAACAGACACAATCAGTCCTGTACTCCATGCTGTCAACAGAATTCTTCCTGATTTTCAGTAAGTTACTGCTGTGAGAACATCCCAGGAGAGTGAGGTTATACACTGGTGTTGACTTGTACCAGCATTTGGCCTCCTGAACCTGTATTTATTTAAGGCTTGATTGATACTACAATAAGATTGAGTTCCTAATTATATGAGAAACTCAAAGCTGAGGTTCTGATTTCTGATCTCCACTGGCTCTTCAGCATTGTTGCTTATAAACATCATTATATCCAGTTTTTGTGCTATGCAGACATTGAATATCTTCCGTAGTGGAGTCTTATCAGGCCAGGTTGGACGAAGCCTTGGGTGGCATGTTTTAGTGGGAGGTGTCCCTGCCCATGGCAGGGGGGTTGTAACTATATGATCTTAAGGTCCTTTCCAACCCTAACTATTCTATTCTATGATTATTGACATTTTTCCATAATACAGAGACATGTCAGCTTACATGCTTTGTAAGCTATGTATTTGATAAATTTGGAGACAGCAAACACAGTATCATGAATATTAATTCACTAGCAATGTAGTATTAAATAAGTCAATGTGGCCCATCTGAAATCCTAGATATTTGAGTATGCTTTCTATTACAACAGTATCATTTGTAATTTGCAATAGTAAACAACACTCTCATGCAGTCATTTCTGATGTAGCGTTCACCTGAAAAATAAGCCAACTAAGCTCTGCATAAATTAATACAGCATTTGACAAGAGGTTTCTCATTTCTACTGTCTGGAGAAGCAAAGCTTGATAGAGAATGGGAAAAATGCCTTCTTGAGATGAATGGACTGAAACAGCTGCATACGTGTGTTTTATTGTACATTTTCTAAATACTGGGAGTCAGTTTGCCATTTCTACTGGGGTGTTTTGTAACTTGGAAAATCTTGCCTGATTCTGTTACAACTTTCTCCTTTTCCCTTTCAGTTTCTTTCCCTGGTTTTGCTTCATTTCTTTCTTGTTTTGTTCCAAGAAATTGCAATGTATCTTTTTTGTGTTTTCTGTAGTTCTCCATGTCTCTATCTCAACATCCCTTCTATTCCCCTTTCCTACTCCCTGTTGCACGTTTCCTCTCTTGGGATTTCTTCTAGTTTATTCTGCTGTGTACTGTCCCTGTCTAACCTACACCCATGAACCTGCACATCCTGCTTCACTCACCTGGACTGCCCAGGCAATGAAGACCTTTGCCAGGATCCTGGTAGACAGATGATCAGGACAGAAAACTAAGGACAGGCAGCACACTTGCTAGGGTTCCAGCAAGCGAGGTGTCCCTGCCCATGGCAGGGGGGTTGGAACTTGATGATCTTAAGGTCCTTTCCAACCCTAACTATTCTATGATTCTAAGTGAGAAGGTGTCCCTACCTAATGGACGTTTACCTGATACTCCGTAAAGGATGATGGATTTTTAGCCTGTAGTCAGGGCATGTCTGATAAATGCGAACTTTATGAGTTCTTCTTGACTGCTGGAAGGAAGGAAAGGTCCCTTTCCTCTTCTTCTCAGCAACCCCACCCCTTCTGAAGCTGTAAAGATGCTCATTTTGTTGTCTTTCCTGCCTTCCCTTTTGGAGTTCACCTTTCCCAGTGAATGTCTCCAGCGCCTGTTTCTACATGGTCAAAATGTTCTTGGTTGGAAAGTGCACCTGATTCTTACACATTTCATCAGTGTCCACAGAGGTTGCCATAGCCATGAAAGCCAAAGGGAGGTACCACAGGCCTGGAGCTTCACAAAGAATTGCAAGGGGAGGAGAAGTGAAGCTCTCTGTACATGCATACACAAAGACAGCACTCTTTGGTGCCAGTGTATGTAAAGATATTTACACAACCATGAAGACTAGAACTTTCTAACTGTTAGTTTTTAACAGAAATATACATTCTACAATATTTACTAATGCAGGAAAACAATGCCTACTTTGCATGGCTTTATCCAAGCCATGGATCAATGTAGACAATAACATTCTTTTGGCAAAATGGCTTTAGGAATTACTCGTCCTTAAAGAATTTAAATGGAAAGTCTAGCTGGCCTTTGCATCACTTACTTAGTAAGAGTAGGCTGTAAACATGTGCAACCAGAACTTGCTTCAGAGCCAATCTAATCCAGTTGTGAGCTTGTTTAAATGAAGTGACTTTGAGACATTTGTATTTAACCAGAATATTCTGTGAAAACGTTGGTATCTAGACAGGGTGTTTGCTACTTGACAAAGGAAATGCTTTTTGTAAATGCAAAAGTCTTGGCAAGATTTTGGGGTTATATCATTGAAATGTGAGATATGCTTCCCACTGGCCATATGTTGCAACAGTGCAGATGATCTCATTCTGTAAATCTATTAATGCCATCATGAGATTTGGGGTTTTCAGAGCAGTGGTAGTGATTTCGTTCTTTTCCCATTCTATTTTGTCCCCATCTGCCTGCCTGCCTTTCCGTGCTTCTCTGAACTCTCTGCCTGTACAGAAGGGGATTACCTTTCCTCTGTATCTGCATTCCAGTTAACATGAAGGGATTTAGATCTCCCCAAGCTGTTGGTATTGCCCATAAATGAAACTGAAAAACATGTCAGATAAAAAGAAGATAGATGTATGAAGGAATGCAGTGAACTACTCAGTATTTTTTGTAACAAGACTGGGGAGGGTTGTGTGGCTGGCTTTCTTTATTTTATTTTTTAAACAAAACGAACCCACACTTTCTTGTTTGGATACCACTGCATTTGCATTTGTGAGACTCCTGTGGAAAATCCTAAATTGCAGTTCCTCAGCTGAACTCAGTCTGAACTGTTCAACTCCTTCATTTCATTAACAAAGCTCAGGGCTTCTGACTTAAAATGATGATGTGTTGTTCATCGTAAGCTCTTGTGATAAAAGCAAGATCAAAATATTGCTTAAGTCCTAGCTGGATGTTTTGATGCGTGTGGTGAGTTGAAGGGTGGGACTGATATTTGCAAAGAAGTAGAGGGATAAACAGGATTTGGTACACATGGTGTATTTCTGTGCTCTGCATGTTGTACTAGAGGAATTTGAATATTCTGTTGAATATTTCTTCTCTGCAGCATTTATAGTAGGTTCAAGTGAAGGACAGGCTTAGGTTTTTCTTTATTTGTATCATAAAAAGGTAGTGAAGATTACTTTTTAGCTAAATTAAATAAGTTTTACCTAGTATGTATAACTGGTTTTTTAAATTGCAGGTTTCAGAGAAGCAACAGAGCACACACCCCTGCTAATTTGGCTGTTAGTACCAACATCGGAACATATGGCACATACTATTACTCATTTACATTATGATTTCCATGTAATTGAGTTTATTAGATTTATCTGAGTATAAGAGGAAGACAGGAACCTCTTTTCAGCAACACTGTGCACTCGTAGAAATGCTAGGAAATAGTGATCAAAACAATTTGACTCTAGTTCTGCAGCTGGAATAAATAATATATTCCTGTGTTGGTCTTTCTTAGAGTGGAGTTTCTGAATCTCTACTTGCAGTCTGCATGCTTTGGATGGTTCAGAAGTTAGGAAACATTTAGCTATTATGAACTGAATTTATTCTGTAAAGGTTCTTTGTTAATCATTCATAGAACCAAGCTTAAAACTAGGGTAGAGCATGTGCAGCTCAATCTTTATTGCAGAAGTCATCGTAAAGATGACATGTACAGCTAGATCCCTTCCATAAATATTGATGTCTGTGTAACAGGATGATTAAAAACTTAATTATTCAGAGATTAAGGCTTTTTTATTAATTTCTCTCTCCACTAGCATTAGAATTTTACTATTATTCCTGAAATAAAATGAAGAGCAGCTTGATTGTTGGTAGAAGCTCTGTGCTAAGCACTGCAGTTTGTTTTATTCAAGCATAAATATACTCTGGGGTACAATAAAGACAGTAAATGCTCTTGAGACTGCTTCAGATTTAATTCCAAATAAGAATAAAATGCAAATTATGAAATTAATTTTTCACACATATCCCAAATGCATCACTCATCTCCTTCCACTTTGCCCAACAGAAAGTCTTCATGAGTCCAGAAATGCAATAAAACTCATTGTCTATGACTTCATTCTCTCATTTCTCATCTTCATGTCTTGCTGCACCAGCATCTCATCTCTCCGGCCCATAGATTGATAGCCGATCTCATCAGCCATCCAGGCTGCAGCCTTGGTGTGCTGATAGCAGACCTCAAAGATTTGTATTTATTTTGGCTAACAGTGTGGTTGCTCGCTTGAGCTTCACAAACCTTTCTCCAAAACTACAGGTTTTTCCTGAAAACGATGTGTACATGCATGCACGTGTTTGTGTGTATCTGCATATGTGTGTACTTTGCCACAGCACCAGAAAGGTTGGTAGGTTTTTCTCCAGACATGATCAGACAGGATGTGATGAGGGCAGCAGTTCAGTTGCAGTGATTTTATTCATGCAAAATCTGGTTTTCCTGAAATCATTGAAGCAAAATTCCTAATTCAGGCGTTTTAAATTCCACTCAAAGAACCACTGGTAATAAAGCATTAGTTCAGGTTCTGGATTTAGTTTTGTTTGCTCAGCTAGCATTGGCATTGCAAGAAGATGCCTTAGTCTGGCAGCATATTCTGCTTCACTTGAATTCTTTTTACTGGCTGAGAGACCATATTTGTTACCCCGTTCAGCTGTCACCACCTGGAAAAGATGACCGTGCTTACTGAGTAGATTAAGGGTTAAACAATGAAGTTCTTGGTACTGTCACAGCATAAAGGCTGCAGTCTTAGGGTCTAGCCTGCAAAAAAAGCTGCATCAGAAACCTACACAGCTCACTGTAAATCAATAAGATTTCTACTAATACTCAGATTAATCTTCTGGAGCCAAAATTCAGGCTTTAGATGCCTGTAGCTTTATAATACATGGGTAGGTGGCTATGCTAAACCTGGTATTTCCCTCTATTTCTAATTTCCTCTCACTTTAATCTTCTGTGAAGTCTCTCTGAAACTAATGAACATGAAATAAAACAGCTGGCCTGATCTGCTTCCTTATCAGTACTTTTAGCCTGCCTTTTTCATCCAAGATAGTGAATTAAATATAAGATCTGACTTGACACAGAACAAGAGAAAAACACCAAGAGACTTTTCCTTTTAGAAACAATATTTTTGGAGCTGGAGATCTTTGAAATATGGATGTGCTTTAGTATAGAAGTTGCATAGCTGTTTTACTAAGTGTAACACAAATTCCCATTCTACAAATGCAAGAGAGAGAGGCTAACCTGTATATGTTTGATTGAACACGACATCTGTTTTCCATTTTCTTTAAATGGTTCAGCAGCTTTTTCTTTGGAGAGCCACTGTCCCATCCACAGTAACTACCTGGTGTTCTCGCTAGGACTGAAAGCTTAGTCTTTCTGGCAGTTTTGTTGTGAATAAAACAGCCCTTTGTTGTTAGATTTCAGAGAGCAGCTTGATCGCTAATCATTACTGCACCAATGCAAAGTGTAAGGAGTTTCTTTCTGTTCTACACACAGGTTTAAGTATGGTAAATAGGTTCAAAACTTCCCTGTGCAGTGTGTGCATCTGCCTGTCTTCCTCTCTCTCATTTTCTCTCCTTTTTTCAAATGACTAAGAGGAAAGGAAGGGGAACATGTTCTCCTGTGAGATTTGTGTTTGGGTTTGTGAGGGAGGTATGCATATAAGCAGTGCACATACACATATGGTCTACAGTAGACCGAATTCAGATTGCTTTTTTACCCAATTGCATCACTTAACTTGTGAGTCCTGCAGGGAAGCATGATATCACAGGTAGATGTCCAAAATGGGTGGCTGGAGGCTGACGGATGCCCTGAAGCAGCGTGCTCTCTGACTGCACTAGTCACGCATTAGCCTCTGACTAGAACAAATCTCTCTCTTGTTTGAATAAAGAACATTGCTTTGTATGCAACTGTTAGCAGATTGATGTGCCAGTATTGAAGTGACAGAGATGTTTGTGCTACGTTACCTGGAAGCTCACTGAGCAGAAGCTGAGGGTGTTCTTTACCATGCGATGTGGGGAAAAAGTTAAGGAAAATATTGCTTGCTACATTACTGCTGTGACATTCAAAAAATATATTCAGATGTTCCTCTAAAATATTAACCAGTCATGAATAATGCAAGCTGAGGATGTTTAAAATTCAAGAACAAACACAAATTTATGTTCTGCCAATTAGGTTTCAATTACTTCCCAGTGTTACTCTCACCCCTAGAAAGAAAGACATAAATTACGGCTTTCTTCATTCAGTAACATAATGTACATTGCTGGTTCTGTCAGAGCATGGGAAATAAGGTGTTTGCAGTGAATACATTTTCACTGTCGAGGATGTTAAACCATTCTTGCTGCATCAAAAAGCATCCTAGGTGGGTCACTAATGCTAGAGGCGGTTGTGGGGGGTTTTGTTTGGGCACAGACATGGTGAGCCAAAATGGTTTCGTTTTTATTTTGCTGCTGGCATTGACTTGAATGGTAGAGTTATGTCAGGGTGGGTTTAAATAGATGATCCAAGGCTTACATTTGACAATAAGACTGAAAAGCCCAGTTGTGTGTGTAGACCCAGACCTTTTCTGTGTAAACACAGGGACTGCACATCTGTATCTGATAAATGCAGACATATTGCCATACATGTACACTTGATCTCTTTCTAAACCTGTCCTTTCATCTTTACAACAGAATGAGGATACTAAATACTTACTGTCTTCACCCCAGTACTGTATTATAATTTAGAAGATATTTTGTAAAATACTTCAAAGACAATAATTTCAGGACAGAAAATTATAGTAATAGTTGGATATTGGGATGGTGTTCCTTTTTAATTTGTTTCCTTTTTCCTTTATTGTGTTTTTAGTGTTGTGACCTTGGATACCACGCTAGTCTTAACAGAGCCCTAAGAACATACCTTTCTGCAGAGTATAACCTTGAAACTTCCAGGCATGAGGGCCTAGACATCATTGAAAATGCAGTTGACAGCTTGGAGCCACGAAGTGACAAGCAGAGATTCATGGAAATGTACCCTACTGCTTTTTGTCCACCAATGAAATTTGAGTTCCAGTCTCATATGGGTGATGAGGTCTGTATACTGACACGTATCCCCACCATGCCTGTTTCTCTTTCTATGTAGCAAATAGAGAATTTATCCCTTTTTACACAGTTCAATAAGAGCAGTTATTGCTACCCAAAAGCAAGTGCATCAGCAGTAACATTTTGCAAAATTGGCAGCAGTGTTCTGAGGTTCTTTGGAGTTCTCAAGTAAAAACTGTTGTATGTTACTATGTCTGTATTGCTCATGATGTCATTGCTGTGAATTTACTGGCTAACCTGTGTTCAGCCCAGCATTGGTGTAAATACTGGTTTTAGGTCTTCGCTACTTGCCTCACCCATAATAGAGCTTGTGGGTGTTATCTGAGAGCAGCTGTGTTCTCTGAAATGCAGCCGTTTCCCTTTCTTCTTCCCCATTTTATTATCTGGAGATTTCAAGCATACATTGTACCCCAGCTGGGCCCTGTTCTGCTACACCAAAGGCCAGTAGCAAAGCAGAACGCAGTATCACCTGTGCATCTTTTATCTGAAGGCAACTCCAGGGTTTACATTTCTGTGTGATAAGAGAAGCAACGCAAAGCAGCTGTAGAACAAGGCTGTGCTCTGTAGTCATAAGATGCAGTACATAGTTCCACACCTTGTAACACATAAATACTTTCAATTTAGATGGACACATTTTATTGTATGCTTTATTCAGTTTTAATAGATTTAGTAGGAATTCACCTGGTTTTAAGGAGAACAACCAGAGACTATTGACCAGTTTTTTAATTCCTTGCATCTTACAGCTCTTCTTGATTCTTTGTTAGGTTTGTCAGGTCACTGCCCAGCAACCTGTGCAAGCAGAGCTTATGCTTAGGTATCAGCAACTACAGTCAAGATTGGCCACACTGAAAATCGAAAATGAGGAGGTAAGATCTGTGTCTGCAAGGGATATGCATTGTACACCATTTTCAGGAAGGTGCTAACCTTGTCAAAAGCTTGCAAGTATCTTGAAATGGCCTCAATCTGTATGAGCTATTTTAATTTTTAAAATCAAATGCTGGTAAATACGCTAAGGTAGATCCTTGTCTGCTTTGTAGAGGTCTGAGAACTTCATCCTTTACGTGTCCATACGTTCACATTACTGAGTTCTGTGTTTTGCAGATGTTTCAGAGTAAGCACATTTTTTAAGCTTTGTGGCAGAAAGCCACCATGTAGCAGTTACTGTCGTTTGTGACCACTCTCTGTACAGTCCTCAAATTGCTACTACTGTAGTACAAAGGAATTTGACTGTCTTTTGTGGTAGCTGAGTCAAAATCTCTTGTGCTCTCAGCTACAGCTATTTCGAGACAGGAGTACTGAATGGCTGTGACAGGAATAGCTCACCTGGTAAAATAAAATGCCTCTTTCTCTTTTTGTAATAGACAGAAAAGCTGTGCTGTTCTCTTTCCCCTGCTCTAGCATCAGAGACAGAGTGGCCTCCCAATGGGTTTAAATTATGCTTTGTTAGAGGCCCTTCGTTTAAACAAGAATTATTCCTAAATTAAAACATAGGGATCATTTAATTTCTTGGTGTGGTTTACTGAGAAGTTTTCAGCATTCCATTTTTTCTCATTCTATGTTATATACTGAATGGCTAGAACTAAGTTTTAATGTCCATGAAACATGCCTTAGAAAAAACCCACTTGAATTCAGATAGTATCTCAAGGTAACAAAGACAAAAAGTAGGGGAAAGATTGTTTCTTTCAGTAAAGTGCCAGGGACACAGGGAGAGAAATCATGTAGGCAGGCATGGGTAGGATATTTGCCTAACTGGAGATGTGTGTAGAAGTGAGCATGATTTGGTTAAGCTGACGTTACTAGAGACTCTTTTGAAGCAGAACTGGGAGATAAATCACATCCTTGTGAATCTTGCCTGTTACTTTATTGCATTGCACTCCATTCCCTGTTCCATGGCCTCCATGCCCTGGTTCTCACTATGGATGATGGTGCTCCATAGCTCATAGGAAGTGCTGTAAAAGTGGTGTAAATTGTTCTTTCTCCAGGCCCCCTCCTCCAGCTGTGTATTCCACTTCTGCAGTTTAAACATCACTGTGCTCTTTACCATAGCAGTCATGTCACAGATTTTTATCTTGGAAGAACGTGTTGTTCTGGGAGCCAGATCCCTGGATGTACATACTCAGTCTAACACATTGACCACACTTAGGAGAGTTGACCCTTCAGAGCATTGAATCATTTCTCTTGCCTCCCACATTAGGCACCATAATCAAATCATGTCACATTTCAATTCTAATTGCAGGAAACAAATGCTAGAAAGTGCCATACGGTCAACATGAGTACATCCATGTTTGTGGCTTGGACCACGGTAAAGCAGAGAACTACATAGGAAACATAATCATGTCATTCTTCTGTTATACACTATTTGTTATGGTACACCTAATTTTTCACATTCACATACCAGTTTGTTTGGAGTAGTGTGTCAGAGAATTATTTAAAGTAATGAGCTTCCCTGCTAAGCTGTTCTGATATAAATTTACCTTGCATTTGGCAAATTGTGCTTTTTAATGGCAGGTTAAGAAAACAACAGAGGCTACCCTGCAGACAATACAGGATATGGTCACCATTGAAGATTATGATGTGTCAGAGTGTTTCCAGCACAGTCGCTCAACAGAGTCTGTCAAATCAACAGTCTCTGAGACATACTTGAGTAAGCCTAGCATTGCAAAAAGAAGAGCTAACCAGCAGGAAACAGAGCAATTCTATTTCATGGTACGTTGGTTACTTCCTCATTCAAATGACACTGACCAAATGCATGAAGTGAGCATTATGTAGAAGTTCCTGGAACTTACGTGCCGTACATAGTAATAGATTGATCTGCATCTCTACAGAAATTCAGAGAATATCTGGAAGGTAGTAATCTGATCACAAAACTTCAAGCAAAACATGACTTGCTGCAGAGGACGCTTGGAGAAGGTAAATACACACAATAAACTGAAAAGTGATTCCAGAATATGCAATGAACCACTGAAATGCCAGAGACATGCAGGAAAAATATTGCAGAACTGAAAGCTTAATTGTGCAGTAAGCATAGATTTGATTTTTATCAGTCATAGTTTTGGTGTAGTGCTAAGAGTAGACACTGTAAATTGATTTTATTGCTTCAACAGATATTTATTTCCACTGCATAGACGTTCAGACAAGTGATTATATTTTGAGTGGAACTGTGAATGAAAAATGTGGTGTCTGAAAGGGGAGCTGACACAGTCAGTGCAGTATGGTTTGAGAGCTGTGACAAATGTGCTGTTTCTACTGCCTAATAGTTTCTCTTGACTTGAGGGATTTTTAAGAGCTGGGCAAGAGCGATATTTTTTTAAGCATACAAAATTATCCATGGTGCATCTCTTACAGTGGACTCACTGATGCAACATTTCTGACACATGGACACAAAAGTCCTTTGTGCAGCCTTAACAGCTTAATGATGCATTTATGAAAGGTACATGGTGAAATCCTGACCTCACTGATTTCAGCAGTGAGATTCTTAGGGACTTAATTTAATATTGGGTTCTTAGAAAGTATTTGTGTATTGTGACCTGGAATGAATGAAAACTCCATGAATAGCTCTGCATCTGTTGATTGTCATTATTGCATATAAAATCACCCTATTACAATACAATAAAGTTATGTTAGCAGAGAATTACCACTGTCCTGAGCACTCTCCACAGTTTTTGAATATATATCTTAAAATATACACTAAGTCAGCAGATGTCCATCATCAAATGAAGTAAAGCTGAATTAGGGCTATAATGAATCAGACACTATGCTCAGCTCCAGCCCTCCCAACAGGAACTTCCTCCTGGACTAAAGGGAAAAGGAGAATCAAACTGCAAACCTTGAGGGCTAGCCATACAGAATGTTACAGACTTGAGAGGAAGTGCATTACACTGCAAAGAGTAAAATCCCTCTCCTGAAGGTTAAAGACTATAATTCAAAAATCAGACTCCAGAAAGGAAACTTGCTCTCTAAAGAGTGTCTCTAAAGGATGTGTCCATTTATTTTCATTAGACTGTGAAGTGTCTGTTGTTAATCAGATCTCTTCTTGCTTTTAATGTAAAAGCAGATCCACAAATCCAGGTGTGGAGGTGCCTAAATAGCTAGTAACAGTTCAGTGGCTGTGACCCAAAGCCCTTGTCCAGGGAGTGACTGAGGTTGGGGGTAGGAAATAAATAGCATTTTCTTGCAAGGCTGGATGGTAGAAGGTAGTAGCTGGTTTTAGACAACTAACTACATGTTTTTCCTCATGGAATTTTTTATTTAATAGGATTCCCATTTAATGTGTGCATTGAACAGTTTATTCACACACAACAATGTGCAGCTGATCTTAGTCAGGACAATTTTCCTCCGAAGACTCACAGAAAATGTATTTGGAAAAATTAAGTGTATGTTTGTTATTTGAAAGCCTGGTAAAATTCATGATCATCTACTGAAGGGAGAAGGATGCATGTTGGAAAGAAATAAGGAAAACACACTATGAAAGAAAATCCAAGGAAAAGCTTCTCAGCAGGGTGACCTAAGTGATAAACTGCTGATAGGCTCTGGGCTGTTCTGCCTTGCTCAGGCATGCTTGGACTGTTCTGTTTGAGGAGTTCCCTTCGACCCACCAGCTGTAACCCCAAGCAGTTAATCTGTGTTGCCCACAGTGGTTTTGCATGTAGTTGTTGTCACATCATCATAGCATATCACAGCATATACAAATAGTACCCAAAATGTACATTCAAAGCTGATAGTTCGAGCAAAATCCATCATTCTTACAGGTTAAAATGCCCAAGAACCCCCTTCTATTGAGGTATGTCATGCATTAAAATGCCCATGCCTGGGAAGGAGGAGCTGGATTCTGTACATTCCTTGAATAAGGGTGATTGAAAGGATATAATTACAGTGGAATTATGAACATTATTGCTGTAGCTAGTGTAGAAATTAATCTGTAGGAAGTGAACTGCTCTTCTGCTCCACTCTAACTGCCTTTTCTGGAACCTTTCATGTCAGCAAGACAGCAGACAACACAGGGTACTATGCTAAGTAATGCAGGGGAGAATGGGGAAGAGGGAAAGGATTGTCTGAAGTGTAAGGTCTCCTTTGGCACACTCTCTTGCTTTTACTTAAATATGTACAATTTTAGGATGTAGGCTGAATAAATCCAGATTTCCATCTGGTGTCCACAGCACTGACAGTGTCTGGCTTCTGTTCCAGTTCATCACCAGCCTACTACAGTCTGTTGCTGTTTATGGACACAGCAGATAGATATTCATGATCTGCACAAGGGAGATGGATGAAATGCTCTGTGCTGAGTCTGCATCTACAAATTTGGAAAAGTAAATGAGAAATACTCAAATTGATGCTAAACATAGGAAGTTCACTGATACTGGTATTAATTCAGACCCAAGGCTCTTCTACTGAATGAACAAATGAACAAAGCAGAGGGAAATGCAAGACAGAGAACAAGCAGTTGTAGAAGAAATTGCCCCTGTGTCCCAAATAGGTTTTTGTCCTAATCTGTTAAATATCAGAGATGTGTTTAAAAACCCACAGATGTTGAATTTGTGACATCTTTTTTTTATTAGCTTATATTATCAAGATTCTTAAACTCAATGGGCTTCCCTCAGTTATACGAGTAGGGAGACGTTCCTTGCTTACCCTTTTTCTGTCACAGGTTATTTTACATACTCTTATTTCATCCCTCTTTTCCACCTCTCTAGAAGAGGTGCCAACAATCTTTACATGTCTTATTAATGCCAGAGATTTTGCCCCGAGTTTATTCTTTGTGCCACCTTCTATGGATTTCCACTTTTCTGGTTCTGCAAACTGTATATTCAGATTAGGGGTTTCAGTATTTCAGGTGCAGCTGGACATTGACACATACTGTTATGTTTTGCATACCACTCTTTTTCATTCTCTCAGCAGTGTGACAAGCTTTCAAATTGAGTGGTGCACTTAGACCTAACACAAGTGATGCTAAGGGTGGTTTTCATAGTCACTGTAATTATCTGTAGTTTTGTTAGCTGCATAGGTGTTTAATTCTTTCTTCCCTAATATCTTGAACCTGTTATACTGAACTTCATTTGCCACTGTGTCTCATTCCTTAATGTGGTTAAACCCCTCTGAAGGGCTTCACAGTTTTGTCAGGACTTGATACAAAAGTATTTCAGTCATCTGCACAGTATTCTGCCTCCTCTGATCTCCCCAGGACATCAGTAAATGTATTATGTATTCCATAAATGGTCCTAATGGGAAGGCTTGAGTAAATGACTGTTAACTCTTGTCATGATGAAAAAAAAAAAAAAAACCTATTTAATTTGACTTGGTTTCCTTTTTCTTCACTAGTTTTTGATCAATGAGGATATTTTGCCACTTAGTCCATGGCTGTTTAGTTGCTCCAGGTGCCTCTTGTGAAGAAACCTATCAGGCGCCTTTGAAAGTCAAAGTCAATTAATTCAACTGATTTTCCTTTATCCAACTGACATGTTCAGAGAGTTCAAATAAATTAATAGGGCACATTCCCCTTTGGGAAAACTGGGCTGGTTGGAACTTACCATACCATGGTGTTCATACTGTTTCATTGGTTTGCTTTTCATTGTCATGAGCTGACATGGTGCACATGCCTGACTTAGTGGTCTGTTGCTCTGCAAAAGCTATGCAGGAACCTTCCTGGCATACAGTGTTTTCTTTCTTTACAGTTCTCTGCAGTTCTCTGTGGTGGTTCCCAGTGGTAGCATTATATTTCTTTCCTGCAATACACAGACAAAAGAGAGGAAGGAGTCTGTCAATCACAAGCCGTTGGGATCTAGAGCTCTGCATTTCCAGCACTGAACAAGTTTAGGCACAAGGGGAGATGTAATCCAGTCTTGGCGCAGCTCTGTTTCCATACTTTCCATACTTTTTAGCCACTAAAATACTTGAGCACAAACAATAGGCACTGTTTGGATTTCTACTTCAAATTATTTACAATATTAAGTGACTTTAATATATGGTCAGGCTTCTTAAAAGTTGTTCCATAACATGGGTTGTGTTTGTATTTTGAATGTAACTGTGGAGATGGTAGATAACTGCACTGCCCTGTTTGTTGTAGAATTACATATCTTTCGCTGGCAACATGAAAGTTGGGGTTAAAAGTAACTTGCAAGAATAATTGAGATTTAAAAACCTGAAACCTGCAAATGATTGTTTCGTGTTTCTTAAACTCTTCTAGGTCACAGGGCAGAATACATGACAACAAGGTAAGATGGCTTTATTTGACTTGATATAGAGTTGCAAATGTAATAAAATCTTAGAAATGACAAATTTTAGAACAACTGCATAAAGGCACACATCATCCATTTTTTTGCTGCTGTTCCATCAACTGTGTACAGGCCCTGTGTGATTTAACATTCAGCATTTCTGTTTCAGCATGCTGTTCATTAAGACTGTTCATCTTCCTCATTTTTGTGAGCTGCTTAGGCCAGTGTCTAAGGGTCAGCAAAGCTGGGAGATCCTTAAAAGTATTTGTGAATCACACATCAAATTTAGAAGTTGCAGGGTGCTTTTTGGTGCTAGAAAATAAGTATTTTTCAGTTGCTAGAGATACCTTGCCTCTCATGGCTTGTAATTCACTTTGTCAGGATACATAGTTCAGAAGAACCTAATACAGAGATGAATTTAGGGGATACGCTGCATCTTTGTTAACATAGCTCTGGACAGGAATACCTGCCCACCCCAGCATCCATGTGTTCAGTACTTAAATGTGTCTATATATTCACAGAAGTAAAAGGGATACAGTGTTAGATCTCCATGTTTTATATAGTACATACTTTTTCATTTCTGTAATGCCTCCAGACACAAACACAGAGGAGCACTGCAGCCCCCAGGGTATCAGACTGCTGGGGGCAATGGCAACTGAATTTGCAGCTGCCACTTGTGTGTGTGTCGTGGTTTTAACCCAACCAGACAGCTTGTTACCCACTCCCCCCCTGTTTCTTGCCCTCCCCTTACTCCTGGAGGGACAGAGAGGAGAATCAGAAAGAATGCAACTCCCACGGGTTGAGATAAGAACAGTTTAGTAACTAAGGTATAACAAAAATCATGCTGCTACCACCAATAATAATAATGATAAAGGAAATAACAAGGAAAGAGAATACAACACCACGACCGATAACTCGCCCCCCCCAGCCCGACCAAGCACCGACCGATACCTCCTCCAACCCTGCAGTCCACTCCGCCCTTCCGGGTAACTCCCAGTTACCTCCTGGGCATGATGTGCTGTGGTATGGAATACCTCTTTGGTCAGTTTGGGTCAGGTGTCCTGTCTCTGCTTCCTCCCGGCTCCCCTCCTCCCTGGCAGAGCATGAGGCCCACAAAGTCCTTGGCCAAACCAAAACATCATTGTTTTTCAGCTCTGTTCCCAGCTGAAAGTCAAAACACAGCCCTGCACCAGCTACCAAGAAAGAGAAAAAATGACTGCTGCTGCTAAACCCAGGACATTATCCACCCCTTATTCCATACCATTCACGTCATGCTCAGATCCTACATTTTCAATATACCATCACTCTTATCTAAGTGCACTCTCATCGTAGTGCATGGGTCAGTCCCTATAAAGCTGTTGAGTCCATCTGGTCCATGATGTCAGGCTCCATCTCTTGTAACAGTCTTTCAGAACAGGAGAGGCTATGTACAGTGTTCACACTTGTGAATAACCTGGGCAGTAGTGTCCATTGCTAAGTCCACCCCTCGATCATGAGTCCATCTCGATGTTGCATCTCTGCTATGTTGGCCTTAAGGGTCATGGGCCCACCGGGCCAAAAATAATTCACTTTTATGTTGCCAATCTAAGTCCATCTGAGCCACTTCAATCTTAGCAGCTTTATCCACTTGTTGGTTGTTCTGGTGTTCCTCAGTGGCCCGACTCTTGGGTACATGGGCATCTACATGACGTACCTTCACCACCAGGTTTTGCACCCGGGCAGCAATATCTTTCCACAGTGCAGCAGCCCAGATAGGTTTACCTCTGCGTTGCCAGTTGCTCTGCTTCCATTGCTGCAACCACCCCCACAGGGCATTTGCCACCATCCATGAGTCAGTATAGAGATAAAGTACTGGCCACTTTTCTCGTTCAGCAATGTCCAGGGCCAGCTGGATGGCTTTCACCTCAGCAAACTGACTCGATTCACCCTCTCCTTCCACCCCTCGATCACGGGCCCATCTATATGGTTATTCCGGAAATGAGTCCCGTTGTCTGACTCAATTCTCTCTGGGGTGCCGTGTCGCCACAAAATGTGTTTCTCAAGGCCCAGGATAGTGTTCCGGGCAGTGGCGTGGGGCGCCACTGAGAAAAAATGACTGCTGCCGCTAAACCCAGGACAGTGTGTTACAGAATCATAGAATAGTTAGGGTTGGAAAGGACCTTAAGATCATCAAGTTCCAACCCCCCTGCCATGGGCAGGGACGCCTCACACTAAACCATCTCACCCAAGGCTCTGTCCAACCTGGCCTTGAGTGCTGCCAGGGATGGAGCAGTCACTACTTCTCTGGGCCACCTGTGCCAGTGCCTCATCACCTTCACAGTAAAGAACTTCTTCCTTATATCTAACTGATATAAGGAACTTCCCCTATTTAAGTTTGAACCCATTACCCCTTGTCCTATCACTACAGTTCCTGATGAAGTGTCCCTTTCCAGCATTCTTGTAGGCCCCCTTCAGATACTGGAAGGCTGCTATGAGGTCTCCATGCAGCCTTCTCTTCTCCAGGCTGAACAGCCCCAACTTTCTCAGCCTGTCTTCATACGGGAGGTGCTCCAGTCCCCTGATCATTCTCGTGGCCTCCTCTGGACTTGTTCCAACAGATCCATGTCCTTTTTATGTTGAGGACACCAGAACTGCACACAATACTCCAGGGAGGTCTCACAAGAGCAGAGCAGAGAGGCAGGATCACCTACCTCAACCTGCTGGTCATGTTTCTTTTGATGCAGTCCTATCACTGCTATGGGCACCGTGCTTCTGTGGATGGTGCTGGTGACAGCAGGAACATCCAGACCAGCTTTCCTGGTCTTACTCTTCCCTTTCCATGCAATACATCCTTGCTCAATGCCTTCTCTTCCTCCTCCTTGCTTTCCCAATGGAATGACCTTGCCACCACGCCTCATCTTTGAATTAAATAAATAAGTAGATAAGAGTCTTGACCTCCAGATAAGAAGTTTGAATCTGGCTCTGACTCTGCCTTTGCTGGCTCACTTGGTTTTGTGTAATTTCTTCTGCCTGGTCCCCATATTCCTGGGGATATCCCTGCAGACTTCAAATTAGCCTTTCTCCCACTACTCCATGGTCTATTTTAGCTCTGTGAATTTGGACTTACTTCCTTTCTTTCCATAACCCCAGTTAAAAAGCAGTAACAAATCAGAGCATCCTTCCAAATTGCTGACATTAATTGTGAAACCTGTGGCTTAAACTCTGCTCCCAGATGCTACCAGGAATGCATGGAAGCCAGTAAGCTTAAGCTTATGTCTAATGAAGAACATTTGCTTTCTTGACTCCAAAGCAGGGGACTCTTCATGCTCACATCATCCTAAATTCCCTGCTGTCGAAGCAACTGAAAGATGATGATGGATTTAGGCAATGATTTTACCTTAGTAAAATGGGGAGCAGCTTGAAGCCATCTCCTCTCCTATCTTCTCACAGCTGATCACTATGAGAAAGAAACACTCAGGGAATAGGGCTTGCCTCAGCACCAATTCCCCCACGTCAGCTGGAACCTGCCTGTTGCCCAAGGTTCAGTTATGTTTCCACACTGTAAAACGTGCAAATGGAAATGTCCAAGTTAAATTGTACAAGGGAAGAGGATATCCTTAGAGATGATTCTAAAGTAGCAGGTAGTACCCAAACAGACCAAAGTCCCCCTCTTTAGTATTCTGTGCATTATTGGTCCTCACTGTTTCCACTGAAACATTCCAAGTTTTGCTAATTCCTGAAAGATATGTGGAAACATTGAACTGCTGGTGCAGGGAACTAGGGAAGCATGTAGCTGTTGGCATGACATTCACAAAATAAGTTGTGACCTGGAAGACAATACTTATTTCCTGTAACCTCAGTTGTAGTCATCACATGTATAACACTGGGTAAACATTTGCAGCCCAAAGTTTTGGGTGTTCTTACTTTTCTGGGTTTTTTTGCTTTATGCTGCTTTTGTTTAGTTGTTTCAAGTTGATTGTATTTTTGTCATTCCTTTAGCTCATTTGCAAGGTGTTTCTTTTCTTGTGTGAAGATGTTGATGGCTGGATGTTGAAGGCTAAAGCTGTTCAACCTTCCTGGCTCCAGTTGAAAATGCAGCTGGTTTGGCTTTGAAGCATTTTAGGAGAGTGCTGAGCAGTTTTGATTTCCATTTGAAGCTTCTCCAGCATGAAGCAACTTCTCTGCTTGATAAGAGGTGCTTCGAGTGGCCTGTGTTCTGCTGCAGCTGGCAGGATGAATTCCAGTGCTGGCTGCACATTTCATGCATGACCACAATAGAAAAAAAAGGTCATTCCGATTGTGCAGTGTTTGGAATAAATGTTTATGGTAAAACTGCAAAGCTTGGATTCATAAAGTATGTAATTTATCCATAAGTAACATTGTTTTAATGGAGGTTTTCTCCACTTTTTAATCACTGTTAGATTTAAATTTGATGGAAAGTCTTTACTTGACAAGTTCTCTGTTTATTTTTCCCTTTACAGTGTTCTGTTGTTTTGTCATGACCTTACGGATGTTTCATTTTATTGTGTGACTTAATTCTACCTTTCTCAGTAATCATATTCCCTTCCCTTAGGCCTCCAAATCTTCCCCCTAAGCCCCAGAAACACAGGAAGCCCAGACCCCGATCACAGTATAGTGCTAAGTTGTTTAATGGTGACTTGGAGTCATTCATCAAGGTACTGGCACCAGCCACCCCAGTGGCTGATCTCAACACTTCTTACTATAATGGTCACCACCTCACGTGAGCTGAGGCAGATCATTATGTATAAGTCTGTCCTGGGGCTCTTTTCTTTCCCGGTTGATCAATATAATACTTCCTGAAGTCAGAGGGAAAGAGGGGGATCCATTTCTCACATTAGCCTCCCTACGATTTTGTTAATCAAGTAGGGACAGTATTGGCAGCCTGGTTTTAATAGGAAACTTAGCATCATGTAGAAGATAGGATGTAGTGGTGCATCCCATGACTTAGCACAATTTCCTGCTTGCCATTTTCATTACGTTCATTATTCAAAGTCTTTGGAGAAGCAGTATTACCCTGGGTTTGATATCCAGCTTTTGATTTCCTATGACTTTAGGAATTTATTATATTGTGTGAAATTGTGATCACCGCTGTTCTGGATCCTGTATCTTTGCTGTATTTACTATCTTCTTCTTTTTCATACTTTTATTTCTAATAATGCTTCTAGCCGAGGCCGAAGGAACTCTCACACAAGACATCAGGTATAGTTCTGGTGACAAGAACCATTTCCACCTTGCTCTTGGGTTGCATTCACGCCTGGCTCAAAATTAGTTCTTTCAAAGACCTGGAGGGACAAGTTTGCATTAAGAAATGGGTGTACAACAGGCAAAACTGAACCAGAGCTCAACTCTGGTGTCATCGTGGTTTTAAATGACGGCTGTTCCATATTCATTAACAAGCACCTGCCCATCACAGTCAGTGCCTCTGGACACCAGCTGGCAGAGCTAAGGGAAAGAAATCTTAATATAATCTATCTTTAAAACAGTACATGTATAGATGCAGTGAATTAAATCCCTGACTGCAAGCTCTCTGAGCTGGGTCTGAATGTGACAAGGGTTTTTAATTCTTTCTGTGCAATAACTACCAGCAAATATTGTGCAAAACAAATTCTGTGCTCAGTGGCACCATAGCAGTTTATGTGTCTTTGAACTGAGCTTTCAGCCATCCTTGGTACAACTACGGGGAAAGGCATTATTATGATGCAGGCAGTGCTGTGAGGTGCAAAGAAAGACTTTTCAGGAAATCATCCCATGATGCAAGAGATTAATACCATGAACAGTTTCTCACTCAAGGATGAGAGTAAGCAAAGAAGCAGAAACTCCCCCAACAAAAAGGCCCTGGATTAAAGAAGCACAGAGAAATGGTACTCTGTCATTTTCCCTCGCAGAGGAAAGGGTTATGTTACATGGCAATGTGGGTGACAGGGCTTACTTGGGAGTGGAATCTTACATAATTAGTTGTTCAAAAGGAAAGAGGAAAAGAAAGCTGGTAGACTTATGACAGGTTTGCCAGTGTGGGAGCTAACTAGGAAAGCACCCCTGCCCAAAGACCATGTCATCCCTGATAGGGATGAGTTAGTTTGACAGGCACGAAAGGACAACAGCTAGTGAGATACAGTATTGCACAAAATTGCTTTTTGGTATGTTTTTGCATCATAATGAATTATAAGTAGTGCCAAACATACATTTGCTGACTACAGGCATCAGATTTAATTCACAGCAGTGGTAGGGTCACTGTTCTTGACATTTGACCAACACAGATTGTTACTTCAAATTATTTTCCTGTCATTAGATCCAAAATCCAATTAGTTCAGATCATTCCAGGGGATTATTTCAGGGAATTACTTAACCACGAAGTTGTGCATGGTTCTGAGCAGATTCTCCCAAACCAGATATGAGAATAATTGATTTTGTTATAATTTCTTACTGCAAACAGTGTCTTTTCCAAGGCTTTACATTCTTTGCATGAACCAATGTACTCTCTGGAGATATGGGTGCATGTTGTGCATGTTTTATAATACTCTGGGGTTTTTCCGGAGAGCCAGGCTGCTCAGTGTTGGTGAACATGACAGTATTGCTGGGCTTAGTAACTGACCTGTTTCATGGGTGGTGGGGGGGTTGGGTTGGAAAGGGGGTTATCCAGCTGTTACTGAATCATGACACAATGCAAAATACCAGTGTTCATCCAGACAATTCCCAGTTCGTGGCTCGCCAGTCTTTGCCAGGTTTTAAGTTAAAAGACAAACAAGCTACAATTTAAACAGCATAATTAGCAGTACAGCCTTTTGTAAGCCCTACTAAACCCACATGGAGTACACAGGCAATCAGGGGTTAGGTTAGCTCAGGAAGCACATTGTTTCATTGCTTCACTGTGTGTTGTTTTTCAAACCACTTTTTTTAGTAGTTGGCTTTTCTTCTACTTGGGCTTCATTCATAAACTTCCCATTAGTGTAATTGGGCATGAAAATGAAGAACTAGTTTGTAAAAGGAGATGGGTACTCTGAGTTACAGGGTGCTTTTGAATTCACGGCTTCGTAATGCACACTGGTTTTATATTAAACTTTCACATGGATTAGTCAGTTCTCTGAGCGCTCACGTATTTGGAATTCATTTGGAAAGAAAAATTACAGCTTCCAAGACAAGAATTTCAACGGTACCTGTTATTTAGGAAACAGTCATTTTTCCAGGGTGAGCACCAACTTTTCTCACTACTTTTTAATCATATGATTTGTGTCTTTAATAGGTATTTGATGACTTGTAGTCATTAATGTGCTTGGGTTAAAACATCCTTTTTTTTTTTAAGTGCCAAAACACACAGATGAAGGACTGTGATGGTTCTTTTGAAAAGAATCAGCAGTTTAAAAGAGAAAGACAAATAACTCACTGAAAATTACCGTTATCATCATCTTCTCCCCCTCCCATTAAAAGAAGCCTTTTTTCTCCTTTATTAAAACACTGCCTAACTGGAGAGGTAGCTATAGACCTGCTGCTGTAACATGGTGAAGACCAGCACCTTTGATTACAGATCAAATCAGTTGCAGGCAGGGAGGTGTAGGCTGTGACCCCCCCTTTCCCAATACCTTTGTGCTTATGGAAGAGACAGCTGAACCACCTGCTCAACTCAAAGTGGCTATAGTTCATCACCCACTGGTCAGAGCAGCCTGAAACAACATACCAGGCACTCATCTGCACGACGTTAGGACACATGAATAAGCAGAGCATGTAGGAGCGTTCTCAGATCAGGAGGGAGACACCTGGTACTCCATGCAATGTCCTTTGGTGTCTCTTCTACAAGAACATTTCTGATAGCCCAGCAGGTCCAGAAAAGGACTTGTCAGCGGTTTGTGATCAATATTTTTTACCAAAAGCAAAAAGTAAAAATGGGTACCTTGAGGAATTAGGTCCATTCTCCACCAGGAATCATAGAATCACAGAATGGTGTGGGGAGGAAAGGACCTTAAAAATCATCCCGTTCCAGCCCCTGCCCTGGGCAGGGACACCTTCCATTAGACCAGGTTGCTCCAAGCCCTGTCCAGCCTGTCCTTGAACACTGCCAGGGATGGAGCAGCCACAGCTTCTCTGGGCAAAGGAAGAAAAGAAAGGTAAGTTAAATGGATGCAGAGGGATCATCTTCTTTATTATTCTTAATAATAAACTTTTTAAAAAGCAAATTCACTGCTTTAACTCATTTTGCTTCAAAAATCTAAAACACATGCATGAGCTTAGATGTCACATACAGTGTTAGCCAGATACTGTGGCAGAGATAATGAAGTCTCTGAATTTCCCAATTCAGTGACTTTAACCAAGAACCATAATCCTTTCTTTTCACCCATTCCTTTCCCTCTGTCCCTACATGGGAAGAGAACTCTGTTAGAAATTATTTTTCTCATATATATTTTTTGCCAGCACTGTATGTCCATCTGGATTGACCAGGAAAATGCACATTCACATTCAGTCCAGAGCATGGAGTTTTCCTCTTTCCGATCTGCAGTTTACTCTTTCTGCTCTTATTTTTACAGGATTCAGGACAAGTCATTCCTCTCATCGTGGAAAGCTGTATCAGATTTATCAATTTATATGGTAAGCTCTGAAGCATCCTATATCATTTCGTTATTGCCCTGACTTTTTTGTGTATCTTTTGCATAACGTGTTTACCACCACAGCTTTGTTTTTAAAACAGACATCAAAAGTAGTTTGTAAACTAGATTAACTTCTCACCGCTCTCTCCCATCTTTGCTGCAGGTCTTCAGCATCAGGGAATTTTTAGAGTGTCTGGTTCCCAGGTAGAAGTCAATGATATTAAGAATTCATTTGAGAGAGGTAATTGCCATTTTCATTTATTTGAGCACCTTAATATCTGACATTCAAAACCCTTTTAAATTCTAATTACTTTCTTGGCTGTTTAAACAGTTTGTATGCACTTTGTGTACTGCACCTAAAACTTTGCACTGTCGTATGCTTAAAGATGAAGTATAATGATGACATGTACATGTTTTTCCCCTGTTAATGTTCTAGGAGCGTGAGGTTGTTTTTCATCTTGTTTAGATGAGGCGTATGACTCATGAATCAGCTGTAAGCTTCAGTCTTTTGTTAATGATAAACTGCAAACAGTAGTTTGTCTGTATTTTGTGTTCAAGACACTCAGACATGGAAGGTTATGGTTTTGAATTAGATTCAAGAGACTACTTAATGCAGTTTGAGAACCTGTTACTTGATCTTGTAGAATACAACAGCTCAGCCTTCTGGTCCCTCTGCCAAAGTGGCATCACAACCAATGAGAATACAGGCTGTAAAAGAGTCGTTCCATTTTCAACAACTGTTTTCACTCCCAAAGGAAACTCCAGCCCCAGAGGAGGAATTATGGGGAAAATACTGGGAAGTGAAAACAGATTTTAAACATGAGTGGCTTGCAACACCCAGCCTAGGATTGCTCTGCAAGGGGAGCCAGGATCCATCAATCCCCTAATTGGGTTAAAACAATACTAGTTACTTGGGGTTTCTTTGATTTTGCATTCTTTTTTGTTGGCTCATAGCAGGTGGGATTTTAATTTCCACAAAAAGCTTTTGCAGCTCATCTGCTAATGAGAAAACCCTTGGAGCAGTAAGTCTGGTGACTAAAAGCATGAAAAACATACGCACAGTATTTGTTCTCCTCAGGATTAGTTACGTATCTTGTTAAACCTGATCTCATCTTTGACAAGATACTTGAGGCAACTGTTTTTACATGCTAAGTGAAGCCACTTCCAGCTTCTAAGTCTACCTTACTATTAACTGTTTATTCCACTGTTATTCTGGAATAATAATGGTGTTTTATCCCAGTGTTTATTCCAGTGTTCTTCTGGAAGATACATACATTTTAAAGTGTTTCAGAACAAAGATTAAGTCTTTTAAATGACACGTGGTTCAGTCATGGCTGATGTTTTCAGTTTAGGGTTCCAGTTCCTCAACAGTGTTTTCACCAAATGGTTGCACATATTCCTGAATGTTTTAATTTTTCAGAATGAAGACAGGTTTCAAATTCAGAGAGGTCTCTAACTCAGTTTGTCAAAGAACAGTCTGCAAAACCTTAGTCAATTCAGAACATTCGGCTTTTTTACTTTGCTCACTGTAAATCACAACATGTCTGTGAATACCTAGTTGGAAGTTCAGGACCGGATCACTCAGTTATGTAATTTAAAGGAAGCTTTAGTTAGGCTGCCGGGTTTAGTTTAATCATAGCCTGGGATTTCTAAGTCAGTGTTTATTATCTTACTTGAATGCTTGCCTTGCACCTCCCACACACTAAAACCAAAAAAACCCCAAAGTGTCACTCACAAAAATGTTGCATGCAAGAATGCTCCTGCATGTGTGTTTCATTCACTTTATTTGCTTTTTAAGGTGAAAATCCTTTGGCAGATGACCAAAGTAACCATGACATTAACTCAGTTGCTGGAGTACTGAAGCTCTATTTCCGAGGGCTGGAAAATCCTGTCTTTCCTAAGGAAAGATTTAATGATCTGATTTCTTGTATCAGTAAGTAGAAATCTCTGTTTCTTTTCCAATAGAATTGTACTTTCATCTATACAGTAGTGGCCTGAAAAAAGAGCTAACTTTGCAGATTTTTCTGACACAATTTGTTTGCCATCTGTAACAGTCTGGGTCAGTCATTAGTCATACCCACAGCTGTGGTTGTTCTCTTTTTCCAGTGGGATTAATGTACAGTAAAAGTCTTTGTTTAATAGGGCAGGAAGAATATCTGTTGGTATACAGGAGACAGTTAAATTTAAACACATTATTGTTTTCCTCTGTGCACTGGGTCAAACAGAAGGGGATGAAGTCATGACTGTGCAAACAGAGTACATTACTTTACTTCCCACAAAGGTTTTCACGCCCCACAGCTTGGAGGCGGCACTGGTTAATAAGCACCTACCTGCTCGACATTGTATGGTTCTGGACCTTTATTGTGCTCAGCTTAAAACCCACAATCCAGCTAGCAGGAAAACCCTCCAGTCCAGGAATGGAGGGGAGCAGCTGAGTGCTGCCTGTGGAAGAGCCCAGTCTGTCTTCCAGCATACAAGTTGTAATAGGATGCCTTGGAGGAGCACTGCACGGGTCTGTGCACTGCTGGTGTTCATAGCTGGACACAGAGAGGTGGTAATTTAGGAAGCTCTCAGTGGATGAGTGAATTGCTCTGGCATGTACAAACCTCTTCCAGTTCACAGATCCATCCAGATGTTGAGGAGGGGTAAGGCCAAGCCAACCATCAGTAGGCTTACTGTTCTCTGTGGGTCCATTAGAAGTGGTCAGAGGTACATACTTTGTGGAAGGATTTCCTCCTTGCAACCCTTCCTTTATAGCTTGCCTGCAGCAGCCAAATGGAGGAAGAGGCAGTTTCACAGGTAACGTGGGACAGACCTTTGGGATATTAATTAGGGCAGACGCTTTCCACACTGTGTTACTTTGGCAAAGGGATCCCAGCCCAGCGGGTAGGACCACAGACTGGTGTGTGCAGTGTCCTGGGTTGGCCATTAAATGGGCTTTTCTGGTCCCTGCTGGGGGAACCCAACATCTGCAGTTTCCTTCCCGCATAGTGAGGATTGCAGTAGTTCAGCCTGGAGGTTGCAAATACGTGGATCCCTGTGACCAGGGCTGTGTGCAATACTCTGTGTTTCATTTTTTACCGGGTTTTCCACAGCCGTTGCTATTCGCACACCTGATGGTACTGAGGAGTCCAAAAGGACCTCAAAACCACATTTTAACAGTCTGATCCCAAATGCTGAGGGAGGCACTGTCTCTGTAGCAAGCATAATCTTGGCTCTGCCTGAGCTCAGCTTTAGCCCAGAAAATGTCTGCGAGTCAGAAAAACTGAAATCTAAAAAAGGATCATTTTGAATGAGTGATTTTCTGCCTGACAGGGATGATAGAACTTCACCTAATAATCCTGCACTGATTTCCATAACTTCTGGATGAATTAAAGCATGTCTTCTGGAAAAATATATGGATTTAATGGCATCACCTGACAGAAAACCTACCGCATTCTCGGATAAGCTGTTCAAATGATTAATCGCTTTCATCATGAAGCATTTGTACCAGATTTCCTTTTCAAACTTTCTGGTGTGAGATCCTGGCCATTGGATCTCTTTATGACTTCATTATTTTGACTAAGCATTGAGAAAAATATAAATCGTGTTTCTTGTGTGTGGGGATGGTGTTGCACTCTGCTGTGTTGTAGAGCTCTAAAGAGAATTGTAAAATACCAAGAATGAGTATTCAGCTGACAGACATTGCAGAAGTGAGTTCTTAGGAGGTACAAAAATACTTGCCCAAAACAACCTTTTAAATGTGTTCCAAGAAGAGGAACATGAGTCATTTCAGAGAGTTTCCATTCACCATTGAAGTTTCTGAAGACAGAGTGGGGTATTTGGAAGGAGGGGTAGAAGTTCAGTGGACAATGTGTACATGGCAGCTGGGCAGGTGGGATTGATTCACCAGAGCATCACTGTCTGAGAGAAATCCAGTTCAGTTATCCCTAAATGGTCTTTCGTTACTGAGAACTTTAAGGAAAACCCTAAAGTTCTCAGTAACGTTGATGAATACTAGATTCCTAGCGTTAAGTCTTAGTTTCCTTAGAGAGTGTCAAACTATTGCATGTCTAAGGGAGACAACAGATTATTTTCTTTTAAAAGAGCTGAAGTCAGTAACAACCAATAGTCTGAAACAAAGTCACTGCTTTTCACAGCAACGTTTTAGAATGGGACAGTTATTTGGAAAGAGGCGTTGCCATCTGATCCTGGTTTAGACTGGCTGTTCTCTGAGGTTGTCCTAAATCTGGACTGTCATCTCTACGGCAGCTTGTCAAAACAAGGTGTAATGACTGAGTAGTTCTGCTAAGTTTGACTTCTGCTATTGCTGTTACAGGAGAAAGCAGAAAATTTCTTCCTGATAAGGTGTTTGAAGAGTCCCAGATCTGCTTCTGGCAGGTTTTGGAGGAATCCAGGGGAGGATTATTTTGTGTTTGGTTTGGTTTCCACAAGGTTATCATTAGGGGCGCAGTGAAATGACATGTCAGCACCTTCCTTTAGCAGGGGGAAGAAAGGTTTGGAAGGTGGCAGGACAAAAGCTGTTTTCTCTTTGAGCACATTGGGGTGAGTTTGCTTTGTGTTGTCACAGTGAGAGGGGATTGAATGTGATGTGAGTAGAGAAAGAAGCATCTCCTGTGTCTTGAACCTACAGGCAGCCCCAGAACCACGTGAGGGGAACAGTGGGCTGTGTGTCTGTGTCTCTGATTATCTGCAAAGCCCAAGATGGAGTGTTTTTACAGCTGTGTACCTAGTCTATGTGCTTTGCTAAGTGATCCAGCACTTCCAGGGAATAACACCAAAAAAAACCATAAACCAAAAACCCAGCAAGCATTTCGGAGCAGACTGCCTGTCACACAGCACCTGCATGTCATGTAATATCAAAAACTCTCTGTCTCAAAGCTCCTTTCCATTGCTGTCATTTAACTTTAAAGCTTCCTATATCTTGCAAGAAGGAAGACAGTGTGGGCAAGATTTTTCTCCCACTTCAGACACTGAACCTGTCATAGTTGCATCCATTTCTTTTTCTGTGCTCATTTGGCCTCACATAGTAAGTATATTGGTCTCCATGACAATGGGAGCAGGGCCAGGCCCCCTTTCCTCTGTGAGAACACGCATTACTGTAACTTGTATAGGTCACAGTTGATATGTAAAGTCTAGAAAGCTTTCACATTTTTAATTAAGGGGGTTTAAATATGTTAATTCATATCACATTCACTGGTAGACGATGAGGAAAAGAATAAACATTAAGTTGTGTTCAAATAGCTTTTCAAGATAAATGTCAGTGTGGTTTTTTTACTTGTTGGCAGAAGTCGTTATAGAAGGGGGAGGCAGAAAGCAAATTCATAAAGTTAATGTTCACATAAAACTGTAAAAGGGCAGAATGTCACACATTTTATATGGAAATGTAACATTGCCAGTGAAAAACCCCTTGAAACTGAAGTACTTAGTTATGGATGTCAAGCATAATTGAGGCTACAGCTGCAGAATAAACCTTTCCTCAGTATAGCCACTGAGGAATTCCTTTGCATTTGTGCATGTATTTCCAAATGAAATAGAGCATTGTGATTTAATGCTTTCCCTTTTGTAAATACAGCGGAAACAGTGCAACGTGACTGTGACTTTTAGGGCAATTTGTATTAATGAGGCTCATGAGAACAGTGCTGTTCTGTTTGCATTTATGAACTGGTTTAGATAAAATTTGGGGCAAATTATGGCTTCTCCAGAGCAAGCATGAAAGGTAGGACAGAATGTAAAGAATCCATCTCATTATGGGCAAAAGGAGTGGCCACTGTTGGTAATCGCAGCAGTTGACAACCCAGGGGTAAATGAAGGCTGGGGTGAGGGAGGAGTGTTGTACTGCACTTCTTTCTGTCCCTTTGTAGAAACAGGTTGGGCCCAATACAAGCAAAATACTTGTAACAGGACTTACATCAAGGCCATAATTCACATTTACTGCCGGGCCGCTGCAGTTCTTCTCATGACGTTGAGTTCTTATACACATGAATTACAGTTCATTTTTGCATACATAGCTGTGCAGTGCAGCAGCAGACACATCTCACCTACCCAAACTGCTTAGCTTCTGCTCAGGTCATTATAATTCTTCATGGTTTCACCTCCGTTGCCTTAAATTTGATATACTAAGATGCCAAGATGGGTGAAAGCTTACATCTTTTTTCCTCCTGATTTTCATCCTTTCAGTCCTTTGCCGACAGCAGTAGCCGCTTACCTAAAGGTATAAATGTTATGAAAGGAAACTATTTTATTGCTTTTCCAGACTATTGCCCATTACTTAGAAAGTAAAAAGCCATATTCTGAATTGTCAACTCTTCTTGAAAAAGTTCCAGCAAAATGACAACTATTTCCTTCCCTAAGTGACAGTGGAGTTGTGTTTGTCCTCCTGTAATGCCATCTTAAATAGATCTCTAGAGCATTAAGTGGCATTGCTGAGTTAATACATACATATCTTTTGAGTTGGATTGGACTCATCTACCAAAGTAGAAAGAGGCACAAATTGTTAACCTCAGCACTAATACATACACATGTGGATTACTTGTCAGCTGCGAATTGACCATAAAAATGACATCTGGAAGTCACTCAGTCCCATTTGATGCTCAGCGGGTGTGTAGAATATACATTAGGCATTCACTCTGTTACTAGTGGGCACCACGCCAAGTGAAAGTAGTGAGTGACCCCACACAAAGATACCACACTGGATTTTATCCCTCAGAACAGTGGTCCTAAGGGAGAAAGATCTCTTTCCATTATACCACTGTCTGCTTTCTTCTTCCTCCTTTGTGCTACCTTTGCCTATGAAATATGCTTGGCTTGCACAGCACTGGCTGTTAGCGTAGCACAGTTCATTCACTGCTGACACAAGGTTTCTCCTTCCACATGTTCTGATCAGTAATATCTTTATCTTCCCTTTGCCAAGTGTTTGCAGTTCGTTTGTTA